TGTTTTAAGATTAGGATATAAATTTAGTTTTTGATGTGTGCTATCCAAATGGAAGTGTCCAAAGAGCAATAGATACATGAATCTCAGGAAAAAAATAAAGACCAAATATAAAGATTTGGAAATTATTAGCATATAGATAGTAAGCGAAGTCATGTGAATGAAAGAAATGGATCAGGGAAACTATACAGAGTGAAAAGAAAAAATGGTCTAGAACATAGCTCTGAAGAACTTCAACAGTGATATTCAAGGGAAGAAGAGCCAAAAAAAGGGTTGGAGTTCTCAAGACATAGCCAGGTTACACAAGGAGGTAGAAGACCGTGAGGATGAGCTTGACATAAAGGGTAATCTGCTAATCACTGATCTAGAGTATCTAGAGGGATCAGTGAAGGATGGAAAGGAAGGGAGTTAGGTTTGGGGATTGCAGCTGATAAGGGAATGTACGGAAAAATTTGAGAAAGTAAGTCAGGGCTACAGTGGGTAAAGGGAAGCTTGGACTTGCAGTGTTGACTTAAGTAATTAGGAAATTGAAACAAGGTAGGATGAGTCCTTGTAGGCTCTTGTCCATATAATAGACAATCAGTTCAAGCTTCATGGTCCTTATTATTAGGTTAGCAGCACTGTTTCCTCCTGCAGCATAGGCATCCTGGTACCTTTCTGCAGACTATACACTTGGAATATGCTCCTTCTCCCACATGCCAATGCCACTTCCTTCAAGGTCTAGCACATGTTACGAGGCCGTGACATGATGAAAAGACTGCAGACTGTGGAGCCATTGCAAATTTGAATTTGAATCCCAGCTCTGCACCTACTGCTGTGTAACCTTTCAGGCCTTAATTTCTTTCCTCACCACTGAAAAGGAAATATTAGTATCTTAAGCGGTTTTGTGAGTGTTTAGAGATATAATGTGTATGAATTGCTGAGTGAAACGCCTGGTTCTAAATGCCAGTGGATGGTGAATATTATGTCCTGTTTTTCTTTCCTAATCTCCATGGCCCCTCTCTCTGTGGCAGAGACATCAGAATTCCTACTTGCCTGATACTTCCTCCTGGTCCCTTAATGAGGATATATCTGTTTGCTTCACTCAGCTATAGGTTCCTCCCTAAGGTCAGACAGGGCACCTCCTTCTTTCTATTCCCTTACACTTAGTGCAAAGAGTGGCATATAGAATATGTTCAAAACAATTTACTGAACTGAACATAATACAGAAATTTATATTGATAATAAGCCCAAATTATTAAGAAAAAGGTGACATAGGAAACATTGTCGAAGGATTTTTTTTTGCCCTCAAAACGTTCATTTACCTTTGTTTATCTGAAAAATTCATTTAGATGAAATAATCCTACTCTCTGACTATACAGGATCACTGAACATACAATAAAAGCCTATTTTGACAGCTTCCCAGGAAGATGTTAATCCCGTCCCCAGTATAAATGTTAATAAGGATTTTCACTCTGGAGTGAATTGTTAATCTTTATAGTGAAAGACGGTTCTGACCATGCAGATACTATGGTGACTGGAAAGGTTAATGGATGATTTGCAGTTCTGTCCATGCTAAATACATAAATAATTGATTCTTTGGTAGATAACTAGAGCTATTTGCTGAATCTGCTGTTTATACTTCTGCTGCTGTCTCTGTGGCTTTGTCTCAGTCTCAGTTTGCTGTTTTGACTGAAGAGTTTCCTATCTCAAGAGTCTTCTGATTTGCACAATATAGTATGGGCATTGCTTTTTCTGAATACACAGGTACACTAAATTACTTAAAAGTCAGGCCAAAAGCCTGACTACAGCTTGTTGCAACACATAATAAGCTTAAGTGTTAGCTTCTATTTCTGTAAACACAGAATTTTAGCAATGGCTCTGAGAAATTGTTGAATATAACGTTTTTAGCTTACAGTTAGGAATCTAAAGCTGTTCTGTTTCATTGTTGGTAAGTTCTAATTGTTAGAAATATTAAAGCATCATATGATGCTCCTTATTCTCTTTTCTTGAAAATTCTGTTAGTTCGATCCTCTGAAGAACAGAGAGCAAGTCTATACTCCTTCTACATGATAGTTTTTCAAAGATTTATAAACAACTCTCAGTTTTCCCATAGTTTTTTTGTTCTGTTTTGTTTTTCTTAGCTAAAATATTAAGTTACATTAGCCATTCCTGATGACATATGTTCCAGACTGCCCAAGTATTTCCTCTGCCTTTTTGGAGAACTCTTTTTTGTTAGTGTTCATTTAAACATGGAGCTCCCAGGTTTAAATTTATACTTAAGATATAATCTCAACAGCATAGCTATATCAAAGTCTTGTCTCCACACCAATTTTTCTTCTCTGTTGCCTGAGTGATCATTCCGAAATACATATATTATGATGTTGTTTCCTGTTAAAAACCTTCAGTTTGCATTTCCCAAAGGATCGCAGCAAAGCTCCTTTCCAACATGGCTTTATGTGTCTCTGCAGCCTTATTCCTCCCTGCTAACATGCTGTACTGCAGCTAGACCAAATGCTATGGGCAATTCCTGCATATATCATGCTGCTTTATACCTGAGGTCCTTGCTGTGCCTTCTACCTAGAATATCCTTTCTCTGTTTCTTCCATGTGCAGCACCCCCATATCTTGAATTAATTACATCTCCTGTATGCTTACAAAGCACCTGTGCAACCCTCTATCATCTGTTTATTTGCTGCTTCCCCAATAGAACCATGACTTATTTGTCCTATACCCCAATGCCTAGTGTAGTGGTGGCACATACTAGATAATAACTACTGCTGAATGAATGAATTAATTTTATCTTCTGTTCAGTGCACCGTAACCTGTCAGTTAGCAAATGATCTATTATCTTAGCTCACAAAGAAAAAGAGTCTATAAGGTGTGAAATCCAATTGTCCTCCTTTTTACCTTCAAATTCATCCACATCTTTATCTGCCATTCCTGTTCTTCCTCCTGTGTTAAAGAAAAAGGATCCCAGACTTCTTCCCAAGTCTATCCACTGCCTCTAGGACTCACTTAATAATTATTTCATCTTAAATTTTTACTCTCTTTTTTATTGGCTGTGGCTTATCTTCCTTTGCTCGCAACATGCCCGACTCTTCCACGAAAACAAAAACAAACTTTTGTTTTACCCCAGCTGTTCTCATAAAACTGTTACCTTGCTTTCTTTTCCTCAGTCGAACTTCATGAAAGAGTGAATATACTCACTCACTGCCTTGGCTTTCCCTCCTTGACCTCTTTTCATCTCCCTTTTGACCCACCATTGTACTCTGGTCTGTTTTATCTCTTAATAGCCAAATACAATGACTCCTCTTCAAGCCTCCTGGTATTAGAGGTCTCTAAGGCATTTTACACTGTGACTACGCTCACTGCTTTGAATACTGCCCCCAACCAGTATTTTTTCCTGGGTCTTCCTCTTGTTTAAATGATGGCCCTGTTTATCTTTGATGATTCTTCTATCCCTTAAAAGTTGCTTTTCCAAGTTCATTGATTCTCTGTGCCCTTAATGAATGATTCATTCACTTGTGGCTTCAATTGCCATCTCTGAGGCCATCAGCCTCAATTGTTCCTGAATTGCAGATTGTATTTACACCAACCACAAGAAGTCTCTACTTTTATATTCTGGAAAAATTTCAAAATAGACAAAAATGAAAATAATATCTTTCTATTTCTGCCTCAACATATCTACAACTTCTGTTTTCTTATCTACCCCAAGGCAGGGTGTATATATTATGTATTAACGTATTTATTGTCTACTACAAAAACTTTTAATGATCTATACCATATGGATGATATGGTTTTTACAGTATTATTCATATTTATTTTAAAAATCATATGGACTGTGGGGCTGAGATAGGAAAATTTCCAGAATCTTTAAAAGCTTAATAATACTGGAGAAGGCCAGAATTTCCCATTTTCTTCAGCTTCTCTTATACATGCTCCTAAAGGACCTGGTTAAGAAAGAGTGAATTAAGAATTGACTATTCCTCTTAGCTCTGCAATCAATTATGAAATAGGAGAATAAACACTCAAATTTTTATATTTTAGGTCTCTGGCTCATATCCAGTTTCTAAAAGGCAACAGATGGATCAACTGCCTAGAATGAAAGAGAATCTAGTGAAAACGTAAGTGTAGTTATATCTTTTTTTCTAATTAATTATATTTGCGTGTGAATGCTACTGACAAACAGGTGTCCATTATATTTTAGAAGTTGAACTTCTAGATTTTATAGCAACAATATAAAATAGCAAATGGTAAGAAAACTTAAAGAAGTTTGTGATCTCTCTCAAGTGTAAACACTTTTATATCCCAGAAACATTTTTGGTCTTCAAACATGATACGATCTTATTTTTTAAACTAAAATAATACTATGCCCGAGAAGAGCTTAATACTATGCTATTAACAACAATATAAATATAGGCATACCTTAGAGATACTGTGGGTTCAGTTCCAGACTACCACAGTAAAGCGAATATTACAATAAAGCAAGTCACATGAATTTTATTTCCCAGTGCATATAAAAGTTATGTTTAGGCTGAAAACAGTGGCTCATGCCTGTAATCCCAGCACTTGGGAGGCCAAGGCAGGAGGATCACTTGAGCCCAGGAGTTCAAGACCAGCCTGGATAACATAGCAAGACCCCATCTCTACAAAATTTTTTTAAAAAATTAGCCAAGTGTGGTGGAGTACCCTATAGTCCCAGCTACTGGGGAGGCTGAGGTGTGAAGATTGCTTGAGCCCAGGAGTTCGAGGCTGCAGTGAGCTATGATCACATCACTACACCCCAGCCTGGGAGACAGAGAAAGACCCTATCTCCCAAAAAAAAAGAAAAGTTATGTTTACATAATATTGTAGTCTGTTAAGTGTGCAATAGCATCATGTCCAAAAAAACAATGAACATATCTTAGTTAAAAAATACATTATTGCTAAAAAATGCTAATGATCATATGAACTTTTAGGTGAGTCATATCTTTTTGTTGGTAGAGGGTTTTGTCTTGATGTTGATGGCTGCTGACTGATCAGCGTGGTGGTTGCTGAAGCTTGGGGTGACTGTGGCAATTTTCTAAAATAAGACAACAATGAAGTTTTCTGCATTGATTGACTCTTCCTTTCATGAAAGATTTCTCTGTAGCACTAGAACTTCTTTCAAAATTAGAGCCAATCCTCTCAAACTCTGCCTCTGCTTTATCAAGTAAGTTTATGTAATCTTCTACATCCTTTGTTGTCCTGTCAACAGTGTTCACAGCATCTTCACCAGGAGTAGATTCCATCTCAAGGGACCACTTTCTTTGCTCATCCATAAGAAGCAAAGTTCTTATCCATTTAGGTTTGATCATGAGATTGCAGCAATTCAGTCACATCTGTAGGCTCCATTTCTAATTCTGGTTGTTTTGTCATTTCCACCACATCTGCAGTTACTTCCCTTACTGAAGTCTCGAACCCCTCAAAGTCATCCATGAGGGTTGGAATCAACTTCCAAACTCCTATTAACATTTCTATTTTGACCGCCTCCCATGAATCATGAATGTTTTTAAGGGCATCTAGAATGGTGAATCCTTTCCAGAAGGTTTTCAATTTACTTCTCCCAGATCCATCAGAGGAATCACTATCTATGGCAGCTATAACCTTAAAAAATATATTTCTTAAATAATAAGACTTGAAAATTGAAATTACTTCTTGGTCCATGGGCTGCAGAATGGATGTTGTGTTAGCAGGCATGAAAACAACATTAATCTCCTTGTACATCTCCATCAAAGCTTTTGAATGACCGGGTGCATTGTCAGTGACCAGTAACATTTTGAAAAGATTCTTTTTTTCTGAGAAGTAGGTCTTAACAGTGGCCTTAAAATTTCAGCTAACCACACTGTAAACAGTTGTGCTGTCATCCAGGCTTTGTTGTTCCATTTATAGAGCATAGGCAGAGTATATTTAGCATAATTCTCAAGGGCCCTAGGATTTTCAGAGTGGTAAATGTATATACTGGCTTCAAATTAAAGTCACCAGCTGCATTAGCCCCTAACAAGATAGTCAGCCTGTCCTTTGAATGTTTGAAGCCAGACATTGACTTCTCTTTTCTAGCTTTGAAAGTCCTAGATGGCATCTTCTTCCAATAGAAAGACTTCTTCCAGATTGTCTACATTGAAAATCTGTTTTTTAGTGCAGCCACTTTCATCAATTATCTTAGCTATACCTTCTGGATAACTTGCTGCATCTTCTACATCAGCACTTTTTGCTTTACCTTATACTTTTATGTCATGGAGATGGTTTCATTCTTAAACCTCATGAACCAACCTCTGCTAGCTTCAAACATTTCTTCTGCAGCTTCCTTACCTCTCTCAGCCTTCACAGAATTGAAAGAGTTAGAGCCTTCTCTGGATTAGGCTTTGGCTTAAGGGATTGTTGTGGCTGGTTTGATCTTCTATCTAGGCCACTAAAACTTTTCTCCATATCAGCAATAAGGGTATTTTGCTTTCTTATCATTCTTGTGTCCATTGGAGTAGTACTTTTAATTTCCTTCAAGAACTTTTCCTTCATGTTTAAAACTTGTCTAACTGGTTGGCTCTAGAGGCCTAGCTTTCTGCCTTAGCTTGGCTTTTGACATGTCTTCCTCAGTAAGCTTTCTCACTAGCTTTTGACTTAAAGTGAGAGAAGTGCAACTGTTCCTTTCACTTGAACACTTAGAGGTCACTGTAGGGTTATTAACTGACCTAATTTCAGTATATGTCTAAGGGAATAGGGAGGCCCAAGAAAGATGGGGGAACGGCCAGTCAGTGTAGCAATCAAAACACACACAAACTTACTAGGTTTGCCATCTTATATGAGCACAGTTTGTGGTGCTCCAAAACAATTATAATAGTAACATCAAAGGTTTCTAAGCACCTTGAAACATATAATAATAATGAAAAAGTTTGCAATATTATGAATATTACCAAAATATGACACAGAGACACAAAGTGAGCACATGCTGTTGGAAAAATGGCACTGGTACACTTGCTCGACACAGGGTTGTTGCAGACCTTCAATTTGTAAAAAATGTGATATCTATGAAGAGCAATAAAGTAAAGTGCAATAAAACGAAATATGCTTATGCAATTAAAGTGTCAGCCTTACCCTTTTTAGTGAGGAAATATGTTCATTGGAGTGGACACTAAAGTAAATATAGATCACAGTGCAGTTTAAACTATATTTTCCTGTGTAAACAAAACCACTTTAGGATAGATAAAGAACTGAGAAATGTTTCATGGGTTGAGAAGGTTATATCTACACACAATTTTTCCTGGTCCTGTACTAAGTACAGAAGAATTTCTTACATAATCCTTGTCTTATGTAGCCTTATCCCATGTAGGGGAATATATTCATATATAACTTAACACTATAAAAATTAAACCAAGATATAAATTAGTTTATAAATCAGAGAATCTTTTTCAAATATAGGTCAAGGCAAGAGGTGCTCAAATATATGCAATATAGCAAAATTCATTGGTGTAGATTAATGAGGTAGCAACATTTTGTCTAATATTTGGCTGGATGGATCAAATTGTAT